TGGTCCTTTAGCAGTTTAAAGACCTGGACATCTTTTCAACCACCAGATAAATGCACCCTATACCTTTGCGCTATAGAAGTTTTCCTACCTGTCAGTGAATGGAGTTCTTCTCATTTGTGATCCGTGCTGGGCATTAAACCCAGGACATAACTGTGAGAGGCACGTGTGTTACTGCTGTGCTGCCAGCACCCATGGTGGTATTTATGAATATTCTAAATATTTGTCACGGTAGATCTAAGTGCTACTTATAAAATTACATAATGTAAATAGAACATTTGTTTTTATAACATGATTGATGTGTCTCCTGGAAGATGGATAAATTTTCAATATAGTTTTTATTACCTTTGTGATGTCTGAAGCGTCCTCACAGATGCTAATCTCTGGAAGGCGTTTTGGTTGAAGCCGATGGTAGAGACCATAAAGTAACAGCCGAAGACCATAGTGGACATCAGAGTGTGGCGCTCAAAAGGGCTCGTGTCGAGGCTGAAGCAAAGTAAATATGTTTTGTGCCACATGTTTCATTTACGCCTATGAAATGTATTTGTGCCAGTATACTGTATGATCCCCTTCCTTCTATTTATTTATTTATTTTTTGCCCATTATCAATGTGAAGGATCATTTTGCACAGCACATGGTGTCCCTCACTCCTCGTTACTAATATTGAAAACTTCACCCTCTAAAAAGTGATGTCTACAGAATGGTGGGTAATGTGCTCTATACACCAGTAATTACCAGAATGAAGAAAGAAAAAAAAAGTTACACACCCTTATAAGAAAAGAGTGAGAAGCCAGTTCTTTGGAGATTTGGGTGGCCTTTGGGGGGCCTTTATAACTGACCAAAATTCGCCAAATACAACAATAAGTTTTCTACATTCACTGTTATATTCCTTCTCCTGTACTAGTTAATTGAAAACCCGATGTATTATTGTCCAGACAGGCAAAGGTTATATTTACAATTAAGAACAAGAACAACATGAAAATGAAAACACAGGAAACAAATAAAAACACTCCTTCCTAATATGTGGTAAAACCTCCTAAACACCGGAGGAACCATCTTACCTACTCATGGAAGATATAATCCATCATCGTGCAGTCGGAGGACCACAGGATCAGTTGGGGAAAGGACAGGGGTGGCCAACCCAGAGACAGGAGAGCGAGTAAGGAGAGCTTGGGCGAGGAAGGTAACTACTCCCACAATGTAACACCCGGTTTACATGAGCAAAATCAAAAGTGTAGGAATTGAAGAAACATGATGAGAATATTAATGTAATATAACTAGCAACATTATAAACACATGTTAACTTAAAATTTAGTCAAAAGTTATAAAGGAAATACAAATATCACTACTTGGCAACTCTCCAGGAACGCTCCCAGGTTGACACGCCACCTGAACATGACCTTAATAACAACTAGATTTAATTTGAGGTTTGATCTCAACCTGACATGGTCAGACAAACCTAGTACGCCTGATTAAGGCCTCTTTCACATGATCATTATTTTTGTCACGAGACAGAATGTACTTGCATCTAGTGAACAAAAAGTCAAGTTTTCATATGGACGTTTTCCTGCCATGCCTCAGTTGAGCTCCATCTGTTCAAGACGGAGAATCCCACAACACAAAGATAGTGAAGGAAATAGGTTAAGTGAGACCGTAATGACTAGTAACGATGTTAGTAAACAAACAGATATTTGCCAGAGTATTAAAGAAATGTATGGAAGAGCATAGTAAGCCCTTAACAAACTTGTTTAACATGCATTAAAAACGAATGTAGTACCAGAATCCTGGAGGATACCGAATGAAATACCGATTTTCAAGAAGGGAGATAGATCACTATCCTCTAACTACCGTCCAGTCAGTTTAACATCAGGTGTAGGCACATGACTGGAAGCAATAATTTCAAACTCTATTCAAAATCACCTGGAGAAACACAAATTGATCAACGATTCCCAACATGGCTTCACAAATGGGCGTTCATGTCTGACAAATCTATTAACATTCTTTCCAACTGTTTTCGAATCAGTGGACGACGGGCATGGTTACGATGTGGGTTACCTCGAATTTAGCAAAGTCTTTGACAGGGTACCCCATGAAAGACTAATACGTAAAATGGAGGCCCATGGCATAGATATAGGCGTAGAGAGCAACTTAAGTAAATTTGCTAATGACACTAAAATAGGGCGTGTAATTAAATAAGACGAGGACTCCGCAAAACCACAGGAAGATCTAAAAAAAAATGCAGGGTATGAAAAATGGCAGATGAAATTTAATGTAGACAAATGTAAAGTACTTAGTCTTGGAGATGTAAACAGAGAAAGCAGACATCAGATGAACAACGTTGATGTAGAGAAATCCGACTGTGAGAAAGATTTTGGTGTAAAGTTAGGTAGGAATTTTAAACCAAGACAACAAATGCACGTTTGCTTGAAACGTGGCTAACAAAGTACTTGGGTTCATACAAAGCAGAGATAAGTCGTTTATTGTAAGTCGTTTTCGATGCACGGATTACCTAACGTGTTAGCTACTCTGTATGCACAGACGCTGCTTTTGACTTGTGCGCATGACACACTCAGAGGGAAAAGCTAACACCTCGATCAGGCGTCCTTGCACAGCGCCCAAGCGGCCCAAATGGCTAAAAACCAATCAGAGTTCTCTCATTGAAAATACGAGGATCATGGCCGTTTATGGAGAATGTTTTGATTAATATTGAAGAGTTGAGGGCATCTAAGGCAATAAAAAACTGTGATATAAAAATAAAAATAATTCTATATACAGTAGTATATTGGATTACCTAAAACAAAGCGCATGGCGTGAAAAAATGAAAAGAATTGCGCCTAGTTGAACACCTGTGAAGCAAAGAAATATGTGTTTATAATATGCATAGACTACACTTATAATATATAAATATAATATAGTAAGAACATAAAATATATACTCTGCAGGTAATGCTTATTGAAATAGATAATTACATAAAAATAAGTGTCAGGAAAGATTTTTTTTTTTTTTTTATTGGGCAACCCCCTACATCCTTGTGTAAGGTGAAGCGCAGAAGCGTTTACAGCGCCCAACAGGGAAGCATGCTGAGTTCATGCTTGCCTTTATGTCTCACGATTTAAGGGCGTAGAAGCCTGAAGAGTCAGTGGTTTATGTCATCCAGTTATTGGAAGCTCCAACAGCTTGTCCCTGAATACGAATTCGCAACTTTCGACTTACAGCAGGTACCTACTTTACTGCTAGGTGAACAGGGACTAATGGGGGCTAGGAAGTAAGTCCAAATGACTTCCACCGGCCCGGGAATCGAACCCGTGACATCTCGCTTGCGAGGCAAGAAAGGTACCGCTTCTACCATAAGTCCCCCTCAGGAAAGAGTGAATTGGCAACTCAACTACAACCACAGCTGCCACAAGATTTTCACACAAACTTTCTTCATTATTTAAGTCAATATACGATCATTTGGAAACCTCTCAGTATCTTAAATAATAATTAATAGTTTAATATTATAAAACTGCTACCTTTGGTTTAATTGTTTATCAGTTAACCACATCCATAATGTGAACTGCCTATGTATTGCACCTGTATTTGGAAGTATTTTTAATGTCAAAGTAAACGCATATTTATGTGAGAGAGAGAGAGAGAGAGAGAGAGAGAGAGAGAGAGAGAGAGAGCAACCGATAAAATATATATCGTATTATTAAGGACATCAGATATCAACATCTTAATGAATATCAAAATATAGCTGTTAAACTCTAGTCCAGGGAAATTAGACAATTTTTATGCCAAATGTTGAACTTTTCATAATGAAATGATCCTTGGTAGAATTATTGGGAATACGTTCGTAAACAACGTACTGAACAGCCTGACCGATCTGAGGTAAGCTTGTGCCGCCATCTTGAAAAAATGGCAGCCATTCGCGGTTTTTCATGTTTTACTCATTAACCGTTGATTTTAAGGAGATGACACTTAATAACAAAATAAAAGAGCGTAAAATTCTGCACATTTGGTATCTTCAGCATTTGTGTAGGACTAATACATTTTGATATAAAAAACATTTTGTTTCCACATCTAATTTTGACACTTTAATGTTCCAGTGGTAAAAAACAACAAGAATATAATGTCTGTTTTGCTTTTTTTATTTTTTCAGGGACTAATAAGGAATGAACATTTGATACTGACCTTAATTATCACAACGGCACTGAATTTGACTCCCAAACTTCATGTGTAACTACAAATACTGAACAAGTTACAAAGAAAATGAAACTGTCATAAAAACACTAATCCTGGAACAGGTCTACAAGGGATACCACATTAAAAAAAGACGCTCCACGTACTGGACCTCATGGCTGGTGTGGAAAACGGTACCAGATGATGTAAAAATAGCGAAGGGTGTGGCCAGTAGTGAAGATTGTTTTTTTCGGAAAGTATTAATCGTACACAAAAGATGAATATACCAAAATGTGCACAATTTTATGCTCCCAAAAATCAACAGTTAATGAATAAAACATCAACAACAGCGAACGGCCGCCATTTTTTCAAGACGACGACAAAAACTCACCTCAGATCGGTCAGGATATTTGGTATGTTGTTTAAAAACGTATTCTCACTCTTACTACCAAGTATTATTTCATTATGAATTAGTTCAACCTTTTCCTAATTTCCCCCGACTACTCTAACACTGCTGTAGTTAACAATCTCACCACCATCCTGTCACTTGCCAAGCCTCACTGTTGCCGAGTGTACCTCCTTAAGATGGAAAACTTCTTTCTAGTAGGTGGCTTAAGTCATACATGTTATATGGGCAATGTAGCATATTATGAATGAGTGTTAATATATTACCAGTGTAGCTGTCACCGTTATATCCCGTACGTCCCTGTGAAAGGTTCCGCTGAACTCCATTCATTTCTAAGGCCTAAAACCTATTTAGGGGTACACTTCTGGTGCCAGCCTGTAAGAGGCTTACACAAATAGGACCCGTATGTGTCTGAAATACGAAATTGTTAAGGTTAGATGATAGGCCTATGACAAGTATGTAAGCTCACTTGAAAAATTGGATGCGTCCACCTCGGTCTGCAATGGCCCACACTTTGTCAACGCCGCCCAGGCCAATACAACAGAGGATCACCACCACCAGCACCCCGCCAAACATGAGCAACGTTTGCAACACGTCTGTGTACACCACAGCCTTTACACCACCCTGAGGGAAAAAGTTATAATACTAACAGTGTTTACCACCTCTTCCTACCAACCTTACCAAATGAACATGGCTTCCTTCAATGATCATTGCGACGGCCTTCAGACCCAGGAGTTCAGAAAATATTTTCACTGTATACCAGTGTATAAATATGTAGCACTATTTCTAAAAAAATTCCCAAGAGCTAATGTGGTTTAAATATCCTCCCATAAAAGACAGATATCTATATGATCACTTTGTCATTGTTAACACAGTTTCTTATAAACACCCAAGAACCAGCACACCTGCAGCTACACTGACGTCCATGCTCGAGTTACGACTGTGATGTGATCAGTGGTAAAAAAGTAGCCAAGTTACTAAAGAATTTTTTTAAGGATTGTTTGCACAAAACAAATAGGTGATAATACTCCAGAATATTTCATCCTGCTCAACCTACAAGTTTACGTAAAAAAGTGTAATATTATACAAAAGTCAATGATTACCATTTGTTTACGGTATATATTGAGGGAGATTTTCCCTTGCAAGGAACTTTGAAGGTACCTTGACTGATTCTTTGTACAATACATAGAAAAAATATGCATTAAGCATAATATTAGATACTACTGAACTGTGAGAACATAATTCTGTCTGTCATGGCCATTTTCAACGCTCTACCACACTCTCGTCCTTAGATAATGTCTGATGTCTCATTTTTTCAGCTTTGATCTTTTTGGACTCATTATATAAGATTTTGGGTGAAATCTACAGAAATAATCACACACATACATACTTAAACAACTCTCACTACATGCACGCATAGATCAATACAATCGGCTAAGTACCAAGCTCCATAACTGAGGAATATGCAGTGTATTGAAACTTGTCTGCAAATATTAAAGATTCTCGTTAATTTCTGCTCTACTGGAAGCAACTCATGTGTGCAGTTTTATTTTTGTTTCATGAAGGTATTGTGAAAAAAAGAACGAAACACGTAGTGATAAATTGAATTGTGATAAATCGAAACTGCAATAAACAAGTTATACCTCTATTGCTCCACCTTGACACTCCTAAATTGATCCTTTGAATAGTAAACATATTGATTCATTTCCACAATGAGGCTAAAAGAGAAGCCATGAGGATATTTCTGGTAAAATGTTCCCATAAAAGCTTTTTGATATTAAGAGCATGATAAATATGCTATGAATATTTTGTACTATAAAAGGTTTATATAGTATAATCTCGAGATTCATTTATTAACTATATATATAAAAATTATTACTACAGGTCTCTGTATTTGGTGCACACCATACTTACAATTGTGATGTAGAAGGTACATATTGTCCCCATGATAAGTGTGGATGCCCAGGTAGCGAGGCCCGTGACTGTATACAGAGCTAATGTTGGAGCATAGAGGCAGATGCCCATGTAAATGAAAGCAGAGAGAAGACTACACAGAGTTGACAGCGTCCTTAGCAGTCGTGACTCAAACCTCAGCTCTATATACTGTAAGAAACATATAGTGTCAGTAGTCTATTTGTGCCCTCACAGGCTCCAAGCTGAATGCAAGCAAGCAAGCACCTTCCTCCTTCCCTCTCTAATCCCCACAAGGATTTTTATTTGATCTTTAGAGCAGCCACTTCTGTATTCATGTTATTATTATTATTATTGTTTTTATTATTATTATTATTATTATTATTATTATTATTATTATTATTATTATTATTATTATTATTATTATTAATATTATTATTATTATTATCATTATTATTAGTATTGTAATTGTTGCAAGTGGTATTTTAAATTATGGGTACAAGGAAGCCGTATGCAGAGAGTCAGCTCATATATTGTGGGACTTATACTCTATTTTTCATCCATGTAATTTGTACACTTGGGGTGGATAAGCTGATAATGTACATTAAGAGAAAATTACTCTACTCGAATCGTTCAGAAAATGACACACAAACATTTCTCAGAATGTATATAAACATTTCCCTGAGTCGACGCCCTCCTATTTTACCACATTTTGTCTAAATATACTTCAAAGAATGTTTATTCCACTACTGCAGAAATCTTTGATGAACGCTACAGAATTATTTCAGTTTTTTTCTGTATTCATCAACTAAAATGAGCGCGTATAAAAAGTCCAACAAAATATAATCTCCCCAGCAGTTTTGTAACAACAGTGTTGAGGGTAAGTTAGTTCTGAGGTCTTTTTTTTTACGGGAATTAGCCCACCTGGGCACAGGTCGAATAAATAAGAGTAAAAATAAATAAAAAATAAAAAATAACAATATTATATTATTCTACACCACGAAGGGAGTCTTCGTGGTGTAGACAGATTATATGAGTATGGGAACACAGAAGAAGGCAGAGCATTCCACAGTTTGGATGTGTGAGGAAAGAAGGAGGTACTATAACGGGTTAATCTCATGTGACCGACATCCACAGGGAATCGGTTGGCACCGCGGGCAAGACGTGTGTTAGGAGCTCACGGCCTTGCCGGCGGTAGACAGGATGTCAAATCCACCGAACAGTGCCCGTTAAAGAACCTGTAAAAGAGAGCGAGTGAAGCAACATTGTGGCGAAGAGAAAGGGAAAAGAGATTATCAACTATAAGAGGAGAGTTAATAAGACGAAATGCCTTTGATTCCACCCTATCTAACAGTTGGACAGAAAAAGAGCCACCCCAGATATGAGAGCAGTACTCCAAATTAGGACGAATGAATCCCTTATATACTTGAAGCAATTGCTCAGGAATGAAGTAACTACGGCATCTGTACAGCATTCCCAGCTTTCGGGAGGCGGCTTTAGCAGTGCTGAGGATGTGTGGCTTCCATGACATACTAGAGGAAATGGCGAGGCCTAGCGTATCCTGAATGTCAAAAATTGTGATAGGCAGAGGCGGGAAAAGAATACTGGGTGTCCACATAGCACAATAACAGTTCTCTCACCGTCAATAACGTCTAGACCTACCAGACGTTAAAGCCCCTAAAGAGATGGAAAGGCAGAGAAACAAAAAAGCTATCACACAGGAATCCCACCATGAACACCGCCATCTCCTGGTTCACACTCAGACACATTTCTTTAATACCAGGCAAATTAATTTGGGTATTATTCTCATGTTTGAGCTTAAGTCAACCAGTTAGGTACATTATAACATCTTCAGTTATTAGGAATATTTATTGAATGAACATTTAAGAACCACTAAACTACACCACGTGTCGTTCTGTAGCGCTAATAAGGTAAAATTCTTGGGGACTGTCCCCAGTGCCACCCCCCCCCCCCATCAGCCACATATATTTTCATATTTGTTTGATGTCAGCTGCCACAGATTTTTTTTTTTTTTAAGATAAAGATCCAAAATTTGATCCGCTCATGTATACAGTAGAATTGGGGGCTGGTGGGCCAGCCTCTGTCGGCCCACCATCTTTGATGATGCGTTTGTGTGTATGTTTCTTCCTCATCCCTTTTAACACAACAGTTAAAATTTGGTATGTTTATGTAAGTGACGGTGTAATCTGGGGTCAGCCCTATTGGTATTTGGTATGTTTATGTAAACTTTACCTTGTTAAAATTAAACCTGGGCAACACAGCTGTAATATGTAAACAAATTAAGAATATTTGTTTGGGTGACCCATATACTGACCTCGTTAATAGAGACGATTCTCAGGTTGTACAAAATCGGGATTATGACTATGCTGACGAAGAAACAGCCCGGAATAGCGCCCAGCAGAATCATGGCGATCTGAGGACCAAACAAGTATATCTCCGTGGGGTTACCTGGAAAAATTTGGGAGTTCAATACTGTGGGTGTTACATCTTGTAGGTGTTAACTGGTGTGGGTGTTACATCTTGTAGGTGTTAATTGGTGTAGGTGTTACATCTTGTGGGTGTTAACTGGTGAGAGTGTTACATCTTGCGGGTGTTAACTGGTGTGGGTGTTACATCTTGTGGGTGTTAACTGGTGAGGGTGTTACATCTTGTAGGTGTTAACTGGTGAGGGTGTTACATCTTGTAGGTGTTAACTGGTGTGGGTGTTACATCTTGTGGGTGTTAACTGGTGAGAATGTTACATCTTGCCGGTGTTAACTGGTGTGGGTGTTACATCTTGTAGGTGTTAACTGGTGAGGGTGTTACATCTTGTAGGTGTTAACTGGTGAGGCTGTTACATCTTGTGGGTGTTACTGGTGTGGGTATTACATCTTGTAGGTGTTAACTGGTGTGGGTGTTACATCTTGTGGGTTTTAACTGGTGTGGGTGTTACATCTTATGGGTGTTAACTGGTGTGGGTGTTACATCTTGTGGGTGTTAACTGGTGTGGGTGTTACATCTTGTGGGTGTTAACTGGTGTGGGTGTTACATCTTGTAGGTGTTAACTGGTGTAAGTGTTAATGGTAGTGCTACCTCCCTATTAATGTTAATGGTAGTGCTACCTTCCTATTAATGTTAATGGTAGTGCTACCTTCCTATTAATGTTAATGGTAGTGATACCTTCCTATTAATGTTAATGGTAGTGCTACCTTCCTATTAATGTTAGTGCTACCTTCCTATTAATGTTAATGGTAGTGCTACCATCCTATTAATGTTAATGGTAGTGATACCTTCATCTTAATGTTAATGGTAGTGCTACCTTCCTATTAATGTTAATGGTAGTGCTACCTTCCTATTAATGTTAATGGTAGTGCTACCTTACTATTAATGTTAGTGCAACCTTCCTATTAATGTTAATGGTAGTGCTACCTTCCTATTAATGTTAGTGCTACCTTCCTATTAATGTTAGTGCTACCTTCCTATTAATGTTAATGGTAGTGCTACCTTCCTCTTAATGTTAATGGTAGTGCTACCTTCTTATTAGTGTTAATGGTAGTGCTACCTTCCTATTAATGTTAGTGCTACCTTCCTATTAATGTTAGTGCTACCTTCCTATTAATGTTAATGGTAGTGCCACCGTCTTATTAATGATAATGGTAGTGCTACCTTCCTATTAATGTTAATGGTAGTGCTACCTTCCTAATAATGTTAATAGTAGTGCTACCTTACTATTAATGTTAGTGCTACCTTCCTATTAATGTTAATGGTAGTGCTACCTTCCTATTAATGTTAGTGCTACCTTCCTATTAATGTTAGTGCTACCTTCCTATTAATGTTAATGGTGGTGCTACCTTCCTATTAATGTTAATGGTAGTGCTACCTTCTTATTAGTGTTAATGGTAGTGCTACTTTCCTATTAATGTGAATGGTAGTGCTACCTTCCTCTTAATGTTAATGGTAGTGCTACCTCCCTATTAATGTTAATGCTAGTGCTACCTTCCTATTAATGTTAATGGTAGTGCTACCTCCCTATTAATGTTAATGGTAGTGCTACCTTCCTATTAATGTTAATGGTAGTGCTACCTTCCTATTAAAGTTAATGGTAGTGCTACCTTCCTATTAATGTTAATGGTAGTGCTACCTTCCTATTAATGTTAATGGTAGTGCTACCTTCCTATTAATGTTAATGGTAGTGCTACCTTCCTATTAATGTTAGTGCTACCTTCCTATTAATGTTAATGGTAGTGCTACCTTCCTATTAATGTTAATGGTAGTGCTACCTCCCTATTAATGTTAATGCTAGTGCTACCTTCCTATTAATGTTAATGGTAGTGCTACCTCCCTATTAATGTTAATGGTAGTGCTGCCTTCCTATTAATGTTAATGGTAGTGCTACCTTCCTATTAATGTTAATGTTAGTGCTACCTTCCTATTAATGTTAATGGTAGTGCTACCTTCCTATTAATGTTAATGGTAGTGCTACCTTCCTATTAATGGTACATAGTGCAGGAGAGTGTGTGGACGCTCCTAGACATGTTGCGCCATATTTACATCAGCCTTTCTTACGTTCAGGCTCGTGCTGTGTCATAACCTATGTTTCTTTGTTGCTGCCGTATGATTGTGTACAGTGACGGTCGAAAATAACAACTCGCCCCCTGACCGGATCTGCTCTGCATGGTAAGTCACGTGGGGTGGAGACGGGAAGCGGTTGACTTGGGGAGAGCCATTTCTGGAGGGATAGGGGTGTGGGAGGGTGGTATTAATGAAAGAAGGAATGGCGTAGTTCCGCGCTGTTTCGTGACAGCCATGCGTTTTTCTCTGGGAACAATGATTGAGCGGGTAATGCGCCAGACTTGAACGCTGCAAACGTATGGGATCCATTCTGAACCCTCAGCCACCCGATCCTGCCAGCGGACCTTCGAGCAGCTCATAGTAACGTTCCTTACAGTCGTCAAGTGTTCCCCCATCGTAATCTTCGTACTGTACTTCCTGTTCCTTACACTGTCCTAGAATCTGATATATGCCACACTCACTCCATGACCAACACCTGGGTTCAGT